ATGAGGTGCCGTCCGCCTCAGGGGCGGGCGTCTAACCTATAAGAACCCACCTGATTGGCCAAATGGGTGAAGAGCTCTATTTGATTTGTTTAAAAAACATCATGCTTCTGTTTGATTGACAGAATGCATTCTGTGAAGCAAACATTTCAGCTGACCATTCATTGCGATATTTATCTGTTCTTTGCGGTATGCATATTGTGCATGCTGATATCGCGATAACGATGTATTTGCGATATATTGTGCAGCCCTAACTCAGATACTTTAAAATGTCACTAATTATTTCTCACCTGTTGTAGACAGCACTTTGAATGGGCTCAGTTTGGAGAAACAGAGATTAGTTCTGACTGGACAGGTGAGCTAGTGATGTTACTAGGGATGGGTACCTTTAACATTTGAATAGATTTGGTACCAATTCCCGGCACCTAAGAAGTTGTTACTGGTATTTAACGGTACCAATTTTTGATACTTTTGAGTGTTTAAAAATGAATTAATTCTCTTTTTAAATGTATATATACTCAGTATACAAGCATATTTAATAAATAACATACAAACTGTATTTTGTCATTGTAGTGTTGTACAAAATTCTTCAATATGAGAACCTTTAACCACGACTGTTTCTAAATGATACAAAAACTAAAACCCACCTCCATGTACTCTCCTATTCCTCTCCTTTCACCTCTGGACAAATTACGTGATGGTGGGTACTCGTAGTTTTATCAAGTGTAAATTAAACTGAAGCAAAATTATTTATTTATTTACTCTGTATCTTCATTTCTTTTCTCGTCCTTTTCCAAACTGTTGATTTTTCCTACTCACAAGTCGGAATTTTCAAGTTCCGAGGAGGAAGCGAATGCACCATTAGCTGAGCAACGGACACTTAAAGATCAAGCTAACGTTATTTAAACAGTTTATTTACCTGCTGGACCAGATTAACAAGATAATTCACTTAGAACGTAGTCAATGTTTTCATCATCAGCCAGTCACCCATCACTTTTAGTGAAGTAGACCTAAACTTTAGTGTGTTCTTTCTACCATGCTGCTTGCTCTTTTTACACCTCGCCCGCAGTGACTGATGACATAACGCTCTTGCTCTGCTGTCTATCTTGAGAAATCAGGTACCGAACGCTAGTGTGGAAGTAGCAAAAGGTACTGAAACAAGACACCGTTTCATATCACGTGAATCGGTCCTTGGTCGGTACCACGGAATTCAGTTGGTGCCTTAAAAAGTACAGAATACG